AAAAAAAAAAAATCTTATCATGTTTGGCCGCGTACCTCGGCATATAGAAAAGACGAAAGCATCAACTCCCACCGGCCCCCCGGCCGGGGCTGGGGGGCTGGGGAATTCTGGGAGTTGAAGTCCACGTATCTTAAAGTGGCCAAGGTTGACAAACACTGATCTGAACTAGAAGTCCAGCCAGCCATTAGATGACAGCCAGAGCCTCTCCCCCTTCACAGCCCAGATCTGGGAGCCCCCGTTTCTAGTAAGGTGACCTTCTGGAGAGTATCTGGGCAGCATCTGAACGGTGCAAAGGGAGGTAAGAGGAAGGTGGCCTGCTGCTTTAATCTGTTAATGGCGGAGAGACACGATGAGATGGAGACACAGGCTGGAAGGGAGCCCCAACGCGCTGGGCAATGGTGGAAACAGGCTGGTGCGGCTTCTCATCCATTAAACAATCTGGATACAGCCTTTCCATCCACCTCGGACGACAGCCTGACTTCTCCCGGTCAAGAGCTGGCCTGAATTCATTGCTCGACAGCCTTTGGCATCGCAGCCTGGTGAGCCCCCAAATGGATTATCTGAGAATAAGGTAGTTCATGCCACTTCTCAGCCGGGCAAATGGTCCTGAGAATCCCGACATGAAATAAACAGAGATTAAATACTGATCTAACAATTACTGTAGTAACTGATGCAAAGGTTGGCTGTTGACAACCTTGACTGGTTTTCACCAATCTCTTACTGCCATCAGTTGCATAGGATGTTTGGATAATAAAGGAGGGTGCAGCATCTGACGCTCACAGGGGGTGGTTTGGGTTTGACATAGTGATGTCTGAACCCAGCCCGGTTCCTTTAACCCAGGTTGCATTAGTTAGTTGTTCAACAAGCATGTTTTTCTTTAAAAAAAAACTGACTTAGTAGGAATATTTGCAATGGCCAAGTTCATAAGGACTGGCAAGAACCTTTCTTTTAAATGCATAAATGGACAGCTTCTGAAAAGAATTAAACACTTCTGGATGTCTTCTCTCTCTTGAAAAGGGGTGGATATTTAGCTTCACGCACCCCTCCAGAATGAAAATATGAATCACGTGATAGTTCAGCTACCAACTGTCTTGCATTGAAGGAACAAGAGCAGTCATCTTGGGGCTTGTGCTCCCCATTCATTGTGCACACCAGAAATTGGAAGTACCTCCTTCCATCTACAAGCTTGGCTCCCCAAGATAGCTAGTTCCCTGACTTGGGCTAATTAGAGTTTATTAGCACAAGCAGCTAATTAGATCCTGACCTGTAGCCTGTTCTGAGATTGGACCTTGTGAAGGAGTGGAAGTTGCAAGCAAGCAGAGGCTCCCAGATGCGTTGGGCCTGGGCAGCTCAGCTTAAGACTCACTGCAGCGCAAACAGTGGATATAACAGTTGTGTTTACACAACACATGGAACCACAAAATAGGCAACCACGTTTTAGCTTAGCTTGTTGCGCAAATTCAGCCCATGTGGTCAGTGCCGGATTTAGACTCGGTGAGGCCTTCAGCTATGTAAAGTTACACCAGGTAGTCTCACAAAGGTGTGTACCAAAACACAACCTTGGGTCGCCACAAAAAAATTGAAAACATATGCCTTTTAATTACATATAAAGCTATTTTAAAACTACACATAAACATTTGCTACACAAGATTTTAAAAACTACAGTATACATAGAAGCCACATAAAATTCTAAAAGCCAAAATAAAATTTAAAAAAGCTGAAATTTTGGGAGGCTCTAAACTGTAGGTTGTTTAGCTTATGCCTAAATCCGACACTGCGTGTGGTTAATTCATAGGCCAGTTCATGTCTTGCAAACACAGCAAATATTTTTTGCAACAAGTCAGTCTAGTCTAAGGGTAACTAGTGAATGCCCAGACCTTGAAGTGAAAGCTCAGCAATTTAAGACAGGGCCTGTCTGGGTAACACCTCAAGCTGATAAATTCCTCTGGGTCGCACAGCGTTTATGGGGCTCTTGTCATTACGTAATGGTTACGACTCACCATATCCTGAAAAAAGAGGTTCTGACAGACATCCCATACGTGCGTATTCCTCCTCAGGCAAAGAGATTAAGGCAGCATTCAAATATGCGCACACAAACCGCCTTCTTCCCCAGAGTCTTCTGAAGACCAGGTGATAGCTATCCAAAAACGTATCACGTTGGTTCAGAACCCTGGGAATTAAGAGAATTGATTGCTTTGCAGTTACGTAAAAGCAAGCCTGCAAGACCAGAGATTTGGAGTGGATCCATTTTCACTGAAATGCACGTTTGGCATTCAGTTATTGTTCAAAATATCTTCTCCGCTGGGTCCAACACAGAGAAAAAAAACCTTGAGCCTTATATATCTTCCAGAAGGAGGCAGCAAACCCTTAAGCTCTTTCAGTCTCTGGACTTCTGCCCTAACCCAAGAGCTGATCCTTGGAACAAATTCACTAAGAAGCAGGGAGGAGACTTTACAGTAAGAACTTTATTGCACTTTGTTTCGAGTGCTAAACCAGAAATTGTGCCTATTAAGCTCGGCTCACGTTGAAGCTCCAGCATTTCTATTCTATGACAGAATGTGTAGCCCTGTATACTGAACCGCCCCCTTAATCCGCTCTGTTAGGTTTGCAATACAAGCTAATATACTATAATACAACAAAGTGAAACTGAAAGGAGAGGGGAAGACAAAACTATACATAGGGAAAAGAAAAGAAAAGAAAAGAAATCCATTTATTCTACAGCCTTAGGGCAGTATTTTAGGACTTTTTTTATCCGGCTTCAACACATTATGTTGTAGCTATTACTTTTCTGTCAAAAGAACATTTTTGAGGAAATGAGATTAATTACAAGGATGTGCACTTTTATGGGCAGGAAACGAAGAAACAAGGAAGACAGGTCTAATTTTTTCTTCCTAGAATTATGCTTCCAGATAAACATCATCTTCCTCAAATGCAAGACATGCCACTCTGAACACTTGTATGTTTAACAACAATGTGAAAAAACAAAATATCAAGCAATCTGACATTTGGGGCTTATAGATTTACAAACTGAAACCGGTCAAGACTGCAATCTTACAAACATTCATGGGTGTCAATCCCACTGAATTTAAAGAAGTTTACTTCTGAATCAACATGCACAGGATTGCGCTCCGAGTCACCCATATTTAGACTGAGTGGCATATCATCGCAACCAGCTTTAGCACAAGTTTGTCAGGAAGCTTTAATGATTTTAGATTCAAAATGTTTAATAGGACTATGTCAAGTGATTCAGCACAATACACCATGAGATACCCTGTTTGGAGAGCTGGAAGGCCTTGTCTGTGTTCACTGACAGCAGCTGGAGGAAGAGGAGAGAGCCTGATGCTCTAGACTGAAGGACATAAATTAAAAATCTTCAGCAAACATATCTTCAAAAGCAAAACTGAGTTGGAAGACAAACAACTCAGTTTAATTGAAGCAATTTGGCAGAGAAGTCACTTAAAATGAACAAACTCATAAGCAAAACGTCCTGCCTTTCCTAATCAAATATAGAGCACAGTTCCCTCTATTTTCCTCTAAGACAACATAAACATATGAGGCATTGACAGTGTGTAATCAGCAAGTCTCCCTTAAGAACCCGGTGAAAAGTTATAAACAAGGCAATCAGTGGTTAAGGTGAGCTCTACAAGAGGCCGTTCTGGAAAAAATACCCAGAGGCATTGGGAGCTCGAGATGCCAATGGATGGAAAAGCTGCATGAGAACAAGACTTCATTCAACCGTATTCCTTGCAGAGTGGTGAGAACTCTCCAGGTAGGAAACGTGCCACCTATTCATCCAACTTGGATGATAGTTGGTGTTTTAACTGTTTTCATCAAAAACATTCCCAGTCTCTTTCTTTGCTGGAAGATTTTTTTTCTGCTTAAACTGCAGGAAGTTAATGTCTAACTCAAAACATTTAGATACAGGTCACTGTAGACAAATGTTGAGCAATATATCTCAGCACTGAAGACAACATTGGAAATACCTACCATCATGTAATTTGGACATCTGCATAAGAAGAGCATGAAGCTTTCCTGTTAAATGAATCACAACCTCCAGCATTATGAAACGAGCTCACGCCCCAGCCTTCTTCCAGATGCCTGTTTAGGTGTACACTGAATGATGCTTGCAGACGCCACCTGGTTAAGGGCTTTAACCCAGAATATGAGGTTTACTAATGCTGCCTCTCCCTCACTGGTACAAACAACCTGTTACCAGCAAACTTAGATACATACATATATCACACTATTTCTAAGAGCACCCCACAGGGTTTAAGGCTGCTGCTCACTCACATGTACCAAATGAAACTCCAATTCTATCTTCCAGGTTTCAACAAAATGAAAGAGAATTCATTTCTAAAACTAAACCAAAAAAAAAAAAAAAATCAGGCTAGAACCTAATTAGGGCTCCCCATCCTACTCCACAATTACAAGTTCTGCACAGCCTGATACGCCGCTGTTCCTCAAAACATAAAATCAATTTATTAAGGGTTTTTTCTCCTCCTCCAAAAAAGTTAAAAATACAGAAAGGAAACTCCCATTGCTTGGCAGATGATCAGACTGTAACATGAGAAGACAATCCTTCACTGAAATGTTTTCTTTTAATTTTATTTTTTTATCACAATCATTATCATTAGGACAAAGGCAGAGGAGCACTGACTCCATGACGGTCAGGATGTCGCTCAATTCTAGAATTACATTTCCAGGTTCCACGAGTCCAGAAAGACAGCCATGATAGTGTCAAGACGTCACAAAGGGACTTGGCTTACTGCACGATACAGTGCCCGTTGGCATCTCTAAAGCGTAATCGCATCTTCGGTCGGTATTTCTCAAGATAGAGCAGCTGTTTAGAATTGAATGCTCCTCTCCTCTTCCTGAAATACAAGAGCGTTCCAGGCATTAATATGTAAATGCTGAGCACACTTCTAAAAGAGAACAGCCCCAAGTGTGGACAGCTGGAACCTACTTTCTATCCAGCCCTTCCGCTCTACGCCAACGACAGCAAGACACGAGACAAAGCGAGTTAGACGCATGCGTGCACACAAGGACACATATATGGATCCATGGATTACATTAAGCCTGCTAATTACTTCTTGTGTTATCCTGACAGCAGGGGAGCCACGGCAGTATCGTTCCTTCTGCACTGTGAAGTAGCACAAAACATCCTTAACCACATAGGAGTGACCCCCCAACCCAATAATACTTACCCATGCTATCCCTGGGAAAACTGAAGTAAACATTAACACAGGAAGACATGGGTTTATCATGAGCCCTTTTTCTTTTGAGAGTCCCCAAGTTTTGTGTGGTGGAGCTTGGAAAGCAGAATACATCTCTCTACTTTGTAATTAGTAAATCTTCCCCTCATTCAGAAATTTCAAGATTATAAATTGAACTCTCTCCCTTAACAAAATTGGAACTGGAAAGGAGAAGAGGGTAGGTGGCTAGACAGGTTTTGTCCATCTGCCAACAGCAGCTGCTATTTGGTGTTCATTTACTTATTTAATAAATTTATATGGGCACCCATCTCATATACATGACTCTGGGCAGCTAACAGTAAAAATAGGATAAAAACAGAGTAAAAAACAACCAGAATTAGAAACAACATAAATAATATAAAATAGCAGCTGAGAACACTCACAACATTACGTCTTCAATATAACCATGACCGAGAAATGGACTCGCCCATACTATCAGGGCCCCAGGGTGGATAGCAGAACCAGGTTTTTAATGCCTTGCAAGGGGCCAGCAAGGATTCCTTTGGAGACATTTCTGGTCTAATATTATGCCCCCAAGCACCAGGTGTGCATGTTCCCCCTCTCCTCTACCACAGCGGGGAAGAAAAATCAAGCACAACCTTTTATTTAACAAAGGGCTATTATGCCTGAACCAGAAAATCTGGTATAAAAGACTTCAGCTTGTTAACTAAAGCAGCAAAACTGCACAAATTTTTAAATTATCTTTCACTACTGATTGGAATTTATTTTAAACCATGATTCCTGGTTCACATGTTATAAGCCAGCAGTCTGCTAAAGTGAAACTGACTTCTGTCTGCTGATGTGGATGGAAAAAACCACAAGGCCTTTCTGTTTTTGCATATAATACTAATGATGGCACAGCCTTATATGCAAATGCAGTGTTAAGAGGCTCGGCTGCAATTCCAGTATGCAGAGGTAATCAAGGAATGTGGTCTGCATAGGGCTGGCCAAGGAAATCTCAAGATGCACTTTTTAATACACACATTTGCACATTCAGCAAAAGGACAGATGAGTAATAAGAACATTGGTTGTCTCAGTTGTTATAAAAGCTCAATTTTCCTCATTAATGAATTACACCACTCCTACTCAAAATCAGCACCTTTCCCATTTCTATGAAAAGAAAGTCTTGAAAGTTTGGAAGGGTGACAAACCAGAGCAAAAATAGATAGATGGATATGCTTCCAAACAAGAGTCAAGATTGTTTATTAATTACATTTTTTTTTCAGAGTCTTCAGGACGCCAAACATAGCCGAGCAGTCCCATTTTGCATCCACAGCCACTTGAGGAGAGAGTGTATAACAAAGGTATCAGAACTGGCCAAATATAATCCATCGTGAATTTAATGGCTCAGAAGATTGGGAATCTTCATTTTCCCCATCCTCTATTATATTCCTAGGCAACTAAAATATTGACAGGTAAGTTTTAATCCAGTTCAAGTCTTCACACTCAAATGTTTGTTCCTTTTGCCTATTTCTTATCTGCTCTATTTCCAATGCAATGGAAAATATCAATATACTCTGCAATATACTATTTCACCTGGTTCGGGGCCTAAGCCTATCTCACCTAAACAAACAAACAAACAGCTCATGCAGGGATTGCACTGTAGAAGCTGTGACTCTTTCCAGAGAAGGCTAATCTTGATGGATTCATATGTAATTGCTAGTTTAGTGCTAGTTCTCACAGAGTCAGTAATAAGCAAGATGGGAACAAATCTGACCGTTGTTAAAACAAAGGACAGTTGGAACAAGCTGGCCTGCTCAAAAGAGGAAGCCGAGTAGTCAGTTAGCTAGGGCAGGGCAGAAAATGAAACATTAGAAGTTTGTAAGCTAGTTCTTGAGTAACTGAAGTTGCTGAAATTCTTCAGTAATGGCTTCCTAATCCCTTCAATAACTATTTATTCTCAGTTCTCAGATACAAGCTTGTCTAAGTGGTTCCAGTCCTGCTTCTAGCTGAAGCCTGATAATGGTCAGCCATTTCTGAAATCTCCAGTTTTAGAAATATTCTACTTATAATTTTCTACACTTCCATATGGTTAATACATTGCTCACTTTAATCAAGTACCATATATTTAGTTTCTTTTAGTTTGGGGGGGGGGCTTCTTTATGATCAGTTCAACAAGGAATAGAAATGGGAATTCCGACAGTTAAACCAAAACCATGTTTTGTATCCCTCCTGGTAACTGGTTACAGTTGTACAAACCAGTTCCCAATAGCTAAATTAAAAAAAAGAAAAGAAAAAGAAACCTCACTTTGAGCCAATCTCTTCTCTTTGCAAGCAGAAGGGAAGAGGAGAAGAATCTACAAGCCAAGCCTAAATAAGAATTGTTAGGATAAAATAGGCATGTTGTGGGGTGACCTCATTTATCAAACTCCTTAGAGCAGTGTTTCTCAACTTTGGCAGCTTTAAGATGGGTGGACGTCAACTCCCAGAATTCCCCAGCCAGCATAGCTGGCTGGGGAATTCTGGGAGTTGAAGTCCACCGTCTTGAGGTTGCCGAAGTTGAGAAATGCTGCCTTAAGAGGAAAGATAGGATGAAAAATAAATATTTTACAGGCAAGCTTGACTGCTCTGAGATGAATCCACAGGTTACGCAGCATGTGGAATATTAAGAGAGAAGCATGCTATCTCTGCTAGCACAGCCTTTTTCCTCAGTTAAATGCAACAGGAATTATCTCCTTAAAGGACACCTGCCTGCTCAGACAACCTGGGTTTTTCTGGAAAGGATGTATCCTGTCACCTGGACCAGGAATCTTAAGCAAGGAAGCCTTCCCAGGTAGTCTGGTTATATTGGCCAAGCATTCCAAGGGAGTTGGTCAAGACCCCAAGGAAGCAAGAGAACAAGTCAAGGCGGAGGTTCTCTTTTGCCAAAGCTTTAGAGGGCATCACCCACCAGCAGCCAAAATCCCAAGCCCAATCATTTTTTTCTTAATCACCAGCTGGGAGGAGGGTCTGAACCAAGGCTTTCCACAGCTGCCTCTGTCACAAGTTCAGAAGCAATAGCTTTTAACCAACCACTGTGACAAACAGAGACTTCCTCAAGATGAAAACTGCAACAGAAAGCAAGCAGGAGGAGACAGAACACCCCAGAAGATCAAATTAAATCATTATTATGATCACAGACCAGCATATCCCAGAAGATCAACCCCACTCACTTACTGTCTTATAAACTGCACAGCGTCCTCATACTTCATTCCACATTCAATGAGCGCGAGGGCAACCAGAACTGGGGCTCTGAAAGGGCAAGAAGTATCAAGACAGATTTAAATTTGGTCCAGTAAATCCTCAGAAATAAAGCCAATTAGCGTAGCCATTGGCCCAGGACAGCTTCTGTCTTGCAGCTACAGTATGCCACCTGTCTAACGGTGTCTGCCCTGGATTCAAGTCCAAATCAATAGCTTTGTGGGTGCCAAACAGAACTGATATACTATAGTTTGTATATTTTGCTGAAATAGTGCATTACAAATAAATGAAACATGAGGAAGAATATAAAGATGCCTTTGCTTTGCAATTAGTTAGGAACAATTTTTAATGAGCTGATTTAACAGCTTAACACTGCAACCCACATGGCAATCATCACAAAAGAGCACATGCTAACAGTTGCTGACACCCTGGGCTTAGCTGATCCATCCAAGATAATCCATCCACTACCAAGCACTCAGATATTGATATCTTAAGATTGCAGTATCATATGTTATCAGCATAAAAAGGCACCTGGGAAGAGGCAAAGCACTCTAATACCAAATCAGGCAACCCTCCACCAACAGCCCAAGGCTCAACACACTAACACAGATGAAAACTCCCAATTCACATATATCAACAGTGTGTAAAATGTTACACGTCTGAAACGTCCCAAGCTCAAAATGGATGTTTCACGTTTGAAACAGGTTGGTCTGACTTTACCAAAAATGTTCTCACCAGTCTAGAGTGTTTCAAGTTCTAGAGACCTGCAGTAACCTCAGACCAGCCTGGTTTGAAGCAATTGTTTCATGTTTAAAATATTGTCACACCTCTAATACCCATGCGCACCTAGGGGTACCTACTGGGAGCAGGCAGATTACCTAAAGGGGTACCTAAACTAAACTATTTTCAAGTTGCGCCCTGAGAATTATCTGTGTCCCCCTGAGGAGTATCAGGGGCCTGTACTTCAGCATTGGCAGATTGATTCTTGTGCTTTAGTATGTAATAAAAGATGGACGTTCTGATAGAGAATAAACTGGAGATTGAAAGACTTTACATGGCTGACCATTAGCTTTATGAAGGAGAAGAAAAAACAATGTATGTATGCCTCACTGCAAACCAGGTCCCAGAGCACTTCAAAGGGAAACCTCTTTGCCAGGGGAATACTGCTGTTCAAGTGGCATAGCTTGCCATTAGTTATATGAGCAATTGCTCAGAGGGCGGGCAGAAATGCATGGAGCTGACTGGCCACCTTCCTGCAGACAACCAAATGCCTACTGACAAACAGCTGCCTTTACTCAAAAGAGACTGGGCTACTATCATCCAACTGTCTCCGACACAAGGGCTGAGCAAATTTTGACAGCTTAACTGACAAAAGTGGGCAGGAATGTTTCCCATCAAAATCACAGTAAGTCCCAAATGGCTGGACCCATTACAAAGCAAAAGACCCCCCTCCCTCAGAAAAGCACACAAATAAATCTCAGCTCTGCTCCTAACCCAAAACACAGCCTCACTCAATTTGCCTCATTGCTCTGTCCCACCTGCCTCCCCACTCAAAAAACAAAAACAAAAAAACAGTATTACAGTTAGTTCTGCTCTAACCTAAGGCAAGGTTTACCTTCCCAATCCTGCCACGCAGTGCACAGCGACACAGCAGCCTGGCTCCTCACGGAACTTGGTTTTCAACAGGTTGAGCCAGTCCTCCACAATTTCACCAGGGGGTGGGGCTCCATCATCAAACGGCCAGTCCTTGGGAAGAGAAGAAGAGGAATGTGAGCTCCATCAAGGCTAAAGAGAAGGGAGATGCCATCCAATTTCTTCTGAGCAGGCAGAACAGAGTCAACGCCCCCCCTTTGTTCAATGCTTCCATCAAATTCCATTTGCAAATTGATGGGAACAACTTCAGACAGGAGGCACACGCTGTGAAGAGGAAACAATCAGAAATATGAAATTCACAGGTGAGATATCTCTGGGTAGGAGCCTCTCTAGCTGCTTCATTTCTTAGGCCAGGGGCAGCACAAAAATCAGCACCTGTTGAACCTGAGATCTCAAGTATGTATTTTATGCCCTGTATTTCATTCTGGTTCTGACCTTTTACTACAATTATAATTTACCTTTATTTATATGGCATTGGAGCAGATGATGTGCTTTATAGGGTACAAGAAGACAGAGACCTGTCCTAGTTTTACAACCTAAGATATGATACAGGAGAGGAAATGGATGCAAAAGTAAGTTGGGATGTGCTTAGGCTGAATTACACCAAGAATAGGATTCCAGGGAACTACAAGTTTTGAGGAGGGAGTTGGAGTGAGCAAGGTGGCCTCAAGTGTTCCAACATCCAAGGAAGCAATGGAGAACGGATGAAGTCCCAAGAGAGATGAGCTTCAACTGGTGGAGTAGAAGGAGTGAAGATTGTAGACAGGAAAGTATCAGGATATGAAAAAGGAAAGATAATGAAGGTCTTTGAAGACAAGGACAAGGGCTCGTGGCATAACCTGGAATGAACAGCAAGCCAACTTAGAGATTTAAAGGAAAGATAACTAGAATTAAATGGCTTTTGGTAATGGAACATTAGACAGAAAAGGAAAAGAATGTGCAGCACCAGAATGCTAAAGGAAAGGCTAGGCTAGGCTAGGCTAGGGATAAAAGGGGCATTCACCAGAGTTTCTGTCATTGAAAAAGAGGAAGGACTATTTTTGTTCCAGTTCTACAAATGGAGAAACAGTACAAGTAGGACTGGGACTAATCCTCCCAGATAGCAGAAGTCTTTGAAACCAATTTAATCAATGGAGAAGGTAGAGTTGAAGCCTCCAGCCTAATTTAGTGGGAACGGCATCTTTGAATTAATTACTGCATGACCAACAAGAAGAAAAATGGGATACAGTATCTTTAAAATAGCCTTGTGTTTAATTAATTCAATTAAATTAATTCAACTGTATTTCATCCCTAACAAGGAATTGAATACTAGGTCAGAAGCCTAGTCAGCCAAAAGAAAACGGGAAAAAGTATGAACCGTATAGCCATTTTAACAGAATTACATTCTTTTATTTAGCTGATAGTATCGTTAAGCAACCAAGGTTGAAAGAGCAATCAATCCAAACCATAACCCAAGAGTGCTCTCATCCAAATCAAGGATTACCATGCTGTCAAAGGAGCCCTGGGTCTATCTGTAACCTCAATCAAGAAAGGAGCCGGTGTGGTGTAGTAGTCAGTAAGCAGGGAGATCAAAATCCCATTTAGCCATCAGGCATCCTTGGCCAGACACTTCCTCTCAGCCCCACGCAAGATGTAGCACAGGAATAGCCCACGTGGCGTCTTGAACTGCTTAAGTAAAGGCGAGGATACATGCAAAGAGTGATGCCCTTTAAGTGCAATGCCACAAGACCCGGCCAGGAACAAGCTTCTGTTTCAGGTACTGCCTCCATCCCTCATACTGTTAAACAGAAATTTATTATTTACTGATCCGCACATGGAACACAAACTACAGGCTTCTCATGCAGATGCAACACACTATTCTAAGAGCATTAAGGAGAAGACAGAGAAGGGGGGATAGGTCAGTTGCCAAAATCCATAAATTAATGCCTGTGTTCAGGCTTAATCTAAGACATGGTACAGAAGAAAAAGGGATTGATATGGAAAGAGAGGAAGCAAATGTGGGCACTAGTTTCCAAGCCCAAGAGTTTTACCAAATCTCCAAACCAGACTGCCCTGCTGCTTGTGCTATTGACAGTACAAAAACAGGCCCCTAACGAATAGCCACAAATCCCACCTTGCCAAAAACAAATGCAGTGAAATCAGAAACCGTTGGCTCTCCAATGTAGGGCCGTGGCATTTGGAGGCCTTCCTGGAATCTACAAGCATCTGGACACTCCCATAATTGAACGAATAGCTCACCGAGTCCAGATGACACCCATCAAACCCGAAGCAGATGTTCCTGTTGCTCTTTCTCACAAGGCAGTTGATTCCAATGATCCCTATCCACCTAGTAAAGACAGCAGCAAGCGGAGATGGCCAGAAAGCAGATCTGCTTGATTTTCAGGAAAGCAGTTTCAAGCATTTCTTGTCAGACAAGACCTTAGTCAGGCATTGCAAACTGTTAAGTATTTTTTGTCCCTTCCTTCAAATTCTGAAAAAGGTATAATCCGTATTTTAATCCACCCATATTTAGGTCACTAGATCCCAAAAGTTAACTCCGTGATTATAGCTGTAACAGAGATGATTGCCCTTTGTACACTATGCTGCCAACAAAACAGCTGCCAATTTTTAAATGTTTAATTTCCAAAGCTTCTAAGAAAGGCATTCAATGTCACATTCCTTTGTTTTAATCCACGGAGAGCAAGAGATTTGCAGGAGTAGGCCAAAGGCAACCAAACTGGATGAGCCAAGATAACAGGCAAAGGTATGACAGCAAATAGGACAGAAAGACAGACCCACATGTCTTTTGTGAAGCACCATGAACAAAAGTCCGTGGAGAGGTCAAAGGGAAAAGCAGCAGCCTTGATGCAGGCATCCCCTGCTGAAATACATCCTGTAGAGCTTGTTTCATGTGAGCAACATGTTATCGGCAAGAACCTACCGCATACCACTGCTGGAAGTAAACCCAAGCACCGCAATGAATCAACATCTGTTCAGAACGCAAAGCCCAGTTTTTTTCACAGGTTAACAGCTACACAAGACCGTTGCTGCAATGGCTTATCAGAACAGATGCCAGCACAGAGGGACTTCCAACCCACAGAGAGTAGTACAAGAGCTGCGGTTCAGGGCAGAGCTACCAAAATGAAGCTGCCACTGATAAGTTCAGCTCAACTTGTCACGAGGCAGGAACTGAGACTTCTCTTAAGCCGCAAATGAAGCTGAGTAAGTTGCAAGGCTCATAAAATGCGCCCTTCAGTTGAGCAAATTCTGAAGGGGCCTGAAAGGACTGGAGCTGCATTCATTGCTAGTAGGAATATATTTATAGCTTGCTAAATTTGTTTCATGTTTATTTTTCTTCCCAAGTAGCCCAGGAACTGCCTGCTATTATTCCCCATTTTACATGTTAGGGAACAGATTCTAAGCCAAGAAGAAGGGTTTTTAAACATATTTATTTGTTAGATTTATATCCTGTCTTTCCTTCAGGAACTCGAGGAGGCATATGTAGTATTCCTTCTTCCTATTTCACCCACAACAACGAGATAGGTTAGGCTGAGAGAATATGTCTGCTCGAAAGACATCAAAGAAGCTTCTGGGGAGACAGAAATCTAGACCAACACCTTTACCACTATACCATGCTAGCTTTTCAAGGCCACAATAAATTTAGGTATAAAAACCTGCAAATTAGTATCTGATCTTTCAGCCAAATTATTAGGCTCAAAGCTTGCTCTCAGAGCCTGCTAAATATAATTTACAAGCCTTTTCAACTAACCCACAACCATCAGAAGCAAGATATGTTTTGCTCCAGACACAGTGACTTCTCTGCGACACTTTCTAATGAACCCATTCTTAGAAAAGAATTTTGTTATCTTTAACCATGCCTGCTTTTCAAGCACAAGCTATTTTTGGAAGCCAACATATGAACTTGTGATGTTTCAGCAACTGCCATGGGCTAATCTCGATAAAACCCCATGACCACCCCCTTGTCTTTTCCTTTACTGAATGCTTTCATTATACTACTTTTAATGTACTACAATATAGTATACTACATTTAATTCCAATGCCCTCTTTTATAATCTGCCAAGGCAAGATCAGTGGATTGTTCTATAAGCACTTTGGGTCCATCCTACTTCCCAAACATATCTTCAAGACTGCAAGGGTAGTTTTTAACTGTAATTTTTAAATTGTTTTAAATTACCTTGTAATTAAGAAAGTGGGGAGTAGCAGCAAGGCCAAGGTCATCTGGCGGTTTGGAAGGATTTATGTTTGGGTCTCCCTGGCCTACATGTGCTCTTTAGAATTCACTGGATTTTCCCCACCTTAATGTGTATTATGTTCTGTCAAAGCTACATGATATACAAACATATCTCCTTTAATATGTTTTGTAACAATTAACTAACTTTAGATAGTGGCAATATAATTGGATCAGCCTGATAATTAATTCAACTCCATTCTGGAAGGTGGTAAAATATGTGAAGCCTCATTTGGGATCAAAGAAATGACCCAACTAGCGGGCGGGGGGGAGAGAATGAGGAGGTGAAATAAACCTATTCTTAAACCAAACTCTCTTAGAAGTCAGAATAGTCCAAAAGACTAAGAAAAGTGGGGGATGTCAATCTTGTCCTCTTTTCTTCTAATGGATTCTTTCCACATATTTCTGTACTATTTCTGTAAGTTCCAAGCAGATGTAAGACATCTGGGGGTACCAAAGAACCAATCCTTATACGTTCTGTGGATGGTTCTTTAGAGACTATCAGTGGTTGAAAGCCTGTGAGTACAGGACTGTAGGAGGAGAGAAAATGACCAAAATGTGGTGGACTGGTTCCTCTAGTTCTCTCAAGCTGGGGTCCCCATGCCCTTTTCCCCAATGCCTGTTGTTGTACCCACCAACCACCTTAGTGGAGACTGTTTGGTCACTGCCACCACTCTTTACAGAGAAAATTCTTCACTCCCCTCTGCTCTCAGCTGTCTCAACTTTCTGTAGCCCAGCAGAGTTGTCTGGGTGCTGGGTAGGTTAGGATCCTGGTCAGAACAAGACTGCTGACTTCAGAACAAAGTTGTTTATTCTGTAAATAAAGGAGCTGAGAACTGAAGACAATAGGAGAAAGGGAAAAAGAAAACCTCATGGATTCTGTAGGTTTTAATTCACAGCTGATCTGCCCAGGCATGTAGAAACAGTGCGGGTAGAACAAAATAGGACTAAGGAAATAAAGAAAACAGCACAGATCAATCCATAATATAAATTTAGAAGCTGATCCTAATTTGCATTTAGCTCCACCTTTCCATGGATAACTATTTCCTTCTTTCTCCAACCTTTCTCCAGATCAGGGTGTGTTTCTTACTTGGCGGGAGCCATTTTTGGGAAGCCAGATATTTCCCCATGGTGGAAGGCAGTCATAAGGTGCTATCATCGCCCTCAAGAAGAATGTGATAGAATGTGAGGGTGACCTTGGAAGGGGGGGACGCTGCCTAGGGAACGATCAGATAAAAGAGAAAGGAGTCCACAACAGAGTAACAGCCATAGAAAGAAACTTAGAAAGGACCCGCCCTAACTACTCAGGCAGTAAACAGAGAGGGTAGGAGATTTGTACTTTCAGACTTGCAAGATTCTGTTAATGTAGCCTTACAATTAAGTAGAATTAGCTCATCTGGTCATGTTTCCTGTCTGGTCTACCTGGTAAGGCTGACAAAGAATGCCATCAACCAGAAGATCAGCCACACTGCCATGCCATCATACCATCTATGATTGTTTGCCACTCAAGCTAAACAGCTCTCACCTATGAAATGGTGAGATAAGCCTGATCAGATAATTTTACAACTAAACTAAGCATTGACTAAAAATTTGCTTAGGGAGAGAGATCCACAGAATCTAATGACAAAGGCAAGAGACTGCTCCACAGAACAGAAACAAAAAAGTGGTTGCTTTACTGGAGAATCAACATGAAAGCGCATCAACTGGATCAATCTCATCTAAAATGGGAACGCATTTATGTACTTTCACTGTCTGAATAAACATCTCCAAGGAAGGTCAACATTATAAATCTCAGCCTCTTTATAAGAAAAATCATCAAATAAAATTCTCAAATACATTTATTAGACTAGACAGGATTTATTAATGTCTATGTTAACGGCACTTAAATGTAGTTAACTTAATGCATGCTAATTGAGAAGGATTTTTTTTTTTGATAAATCAGAGGCTTCTGGTTAGTATTGAATGTACTTTTTGCACAGTACAGGTAGTCCTCGTTTAGCTACCAGAGTTTGGACCAGCAACTTGGTCATTAAGCAAAGCAGTTGCTAAGTGAAACCGTAACTGTGCTTACAATCTTACTTCAGCTTTCCTTTGCTTTAAAGACCTGTGAAGGTTGTAAATGCAAGGATTGGTCACGAAGTTACTTTTTCATCACCTCCATAACTGCAAACAGTCATTGTACGAGGCAGTTGCTAAATGAGGACTACCTGTACATTTTAAAAACATTATTTTAACTTATTTGTAAAGTTATATTAATACTTAATCAAAATTACACTTTTTTTGAGCTGTAACACAGAGCTAATTTTCCTCATGATTATTTAAACAGAGTCTTTAGCATTCCTATGTGGTCTCAATGATATCTCAGGTTTATATTTAGTCTCTATGCTGACAATACTCTGTTTTTCTTTATTTAATCCACAAAACAAAATTCAACTACACTTGAACTATACTAACTATGGTTCAGTTCCAGAATAGAAAATGAAATCCCAGAAGACAGAATATGGTATTTAGCATCAATCAAAGCACAATTCTCGTGTCATATTTGGATATATAACTATAAAAACAAACTGTAAAAGGGTTTTGTCATATAATATAAATGTTTCATCCACACTTTTAGCCTCTTGTAAAAAATACTATAAATAATCTGAAAATACATTCTACTTTGTGTATATTATGACGGAGGAAACTAAAAAATTATTGCTCCATGAACCTTCTTACTTACTTTCTTTTGAAAGAGTTGTCCTTTCCTTTTGCATACAGTAAAAACATATCCACTTAAAAAAAAATCCACTATGTGAGGAGCAACGAAAGCACCTTCAAGTTTAGGAAAGTGAATTAAATTAAATTGCAAACAGTAATTTGTTCCACAATGATTAAATAATTCCAAAACACTACAGAGGGGGGGTTGTTTAACTGAGCAGGGTTGCATTAACTTTCCTTTGATTCACTTCCTATAGTAAAAAGACACATTATTAAAAACCCTTCTGCGGTCATGGTATTTAACACTGACATTAAACATACAACTCATGTGTACTGAAGCTATGTCTCAAAGATGGCAGGTTCCTAACAGACATTAGCTAAGTCTGAAAGCAAAGCAGAATCAGCTCCAAAAAGAATTTAGATGGGCTATTTCTAGGAATTCCAAGACTGGGAATTCCTAGAAGTAGGGAAGATGCAAAAATAGTCCTGGAAGCAAGCAACTGCTGCCCATTTTGGTAATGCTGACAAGAAAACTACTCAAAATTCAAGAAAGCCCCAAGCTGGGAATAGCTTGGATCAGTGTGGGTCCTCGCCTAACAACCAATGGGATTCATTAACAACAGCAATGGGGATTGCCAGGATTGCCGTTGCTAAGCAATGTGGTCACATGACATTGCGCGTTACAACCGTATCACTTAGCAACGGAAATTCCGGTCACAATTATCATCATTAACTGAGGACTACCTGTATACATAGACAGAGGAAGCCGAGCGTGAGCCCAAAGACAGCCTGCACCAGTATTACTGATCCCATCAAGACAACCGTAAGAATTCTGGAGTATGATACTGTGCAAAGAAACTCACTCTGACAAAGGAGAGAAAGGAGATTCTGGGAATCCTCCATATTAGAAGAGATGAGATTTTTATACGGGTGTTTTTTATTGGGCTGAAAAAATAGGCATACTTTGATCTGTTGAAATGAGAGATTTCTGCTTCAATGTATTGTTGATAAAATACTATTTCACTTATTTATTGTTCTGTTTTATAGTTTCTGTATTACAAGGTTCCATTTTGTGTTTGTGAGAGAGAGATTGAAGTAAAAATCCACTGCAGAGGCTGGAACAAAATATTATGTGACATTCTTGGATGTTACCACATCACTGATTAAGAATGATCCACAACTTTGGTTCTTGGAACAGAAAATTCAAATAATACGCTCCATACATGCATGAAGGAGGGCTCAGTCCATCCTCCTCTGCAACTTGCTGGGACTCCCTGCTGTTTTTCTAGCATCAGCATATAAATCAGCTCTGGCATTTATCACTCACTCAGGCAAGTATTTACTGACTATGATCAACCATCAGAGTAAGTACCCACCCTTCCTCTTCTCAGGTGCCACAACAAAGACTCCTTTTCTCAACACCAGGATATCACTATGAGATAGCCAGGATGATTTATAATCAGATTATGATATCCTGCCATGGCAGCTGGGACTATGGTGTCAGCCCTACACGGTAAACCAAACCAAAAAACTGTGTGCCTAAAACTACTTTGATTAAGATTGGCTATAGTAACAACACCTTGCATGTCTGAATGACCTTCTCCTACTCTCCCTTTTATACCTTCATATGAATTTGAGGGGGAGGACTGTCTGAGATGCTTTCGGATCCCTCCCCCCTCATCTGGGCTTCTGCAATGTTTATCTGCTTATTGCCTCAGTAATGGAACTTCCCTCTCTCTGTCATGGTCCTCCTCTATATTCCTTCACTAAGCCATAGTCTTCTTTAATCATCAGTCAGCAGCAAGTTAAACAAATCACATTCTGGTTTAATATAGTATATGACTTGAGCCACTCTCTCATTCATACCTGTGGGCTGATTTGCATCTCACAGCACATCCAAATAAGCTCAGCAGCTAACAAGCAATATGCTAGTATACACTACTCAGATCATGCCCATGATCTGCTAGTATAATATACATAAACAGTGTATATACAGTGTATATGCTAGCTAGCTAAACATGATCTGCCAGTATAATATGCTAGTATATGCTACTCAGATCATACCCATGATCAGTAAGCAGGCAATTAACCACCTGCGACTATTTCCTTTGTGGCTTCTTTACTTTATCCAAGAAGAACCAAGCTAGAGACACTGGTTCACACGGTGTGCTCAACCATGGCTGAGGAATCTGCAGCCCATCAAATGTCCACAATCCCTAACATTCCTCACAGATAGCTATACTGTTTGGAGTAGCTCTGAACTGCAGTTCAACAACATATAGAGAGTTACAGGAACCCCATTTCTACACTAAACAAACATAGGTAATCGGCAGCATCTACTCATGAAAAAAGACAATGGGTACAACTTGAGTATCATGCACCAGCACCCTGCCTGTTTGCTATGAGCACATAATGGTTCTTGTGACATATAAATATCCTCTTTCTCTTTAAAGAACTACCACAAAATTTTTAAAAAAAAGTATGTCTGCTGAACCAACCAATTTGCAATGTTTATCTATTTGTTTTGATGTGCACATGATACTACTTCTAGTTCTTCCTCTAAATGACTAGCTGTCAAAAGCTTGACTGGTTATAGACCTAAATAGAGAAAAATGCAAGCTGCTTTATGGCTCAGATTCCAAACCCATGTTACACGAGTGCAGTGTTATTCCACAGCATTCAGATACTTAATAATGATACTGAAAGATTGCCAAATCATTCAGAAATCAGTCCCATTCTGTTCATGACTGTATTCTTCAAAGATTGAAAAACACTTACCAGAACTTGGATTCCTTCTTTTTCAACAGGTGCTTTATCATAGGTAGCATCACAGACTCGCACCAAGGTTGTCACGCCGTATTTCTTCAGCTCCTTTTATGAACAAACAGGAAACATGTCCAATTTACTTCCCAAAGCATGGAGACATGCAGCTTTATTAATAACTATTAACAACCACCTACCAGAAGACGCTACTTTTGCTGCAACCTAAGATTGCTGTCCTGGTGCATGCATGTCAACAATGCATAAAAAAGAATATTGTACAGTGGCACTTAAAAATTGTGAACCCTTTCGAATTTTCAATATTTCTGCATAAATATGACCATTATGATCTGTTCTCCATACAAGTCCTAAAACTAGATAAATAATACCCAGTTAAACAAATGAGCTAAGAACATTGTTCATTGATTTACTGAGGAAAATTATCCAAAGCTACATATTTGTGTGTGGCAAAAGTATGTGAACCCCTAGGATTATCGGTTCAAATTAGAGTCAGGTGTTTCAATCTATGGAATTATATTTTATTTATTCATTTATTTATCAAATTTGTCACTGACCATCCCATTAAAGAATGACTCTGGGCGGTTTACAGAAAAGATAAATATTAATTAAAAATACAATATAACAATTTTAACAATTTATCCTAAATAAATAGTAAGTAATCAGGTATAATGTTTTTGAGTCATTTGTTTAATACTTGTGGAGAACAGGTCACATTTTAGGTCACATTTAAGGATTCACAAACTTTTAAGCACCACTGTAAATGTTGTTAGTTTTTCCTACAATGGTGCAACAGGCTGTTGAACCTTAGGAATGTAGTATCCCTTCATTTTTGCTTGTTTAGGAGAAACAGTCAAGTAACTTTTTACTTGAAAATAGAACTCTGAAAATAGAAGAAACTATCAGTCTGGTAGTAAAACAATTTTAAAATTAATATATTCTGGACTTTATCCTCCATCAATAAAGAAAGAACTAAGATTTATAACCAAACCAAAGAAAAGGGGTAGGGAGAAAGCAATGCGGAATACATATTTTGCTCCATTCTCTACCTTCTTAAGTGGTCCTCTATTTCCTGATTGGTATGAACATTTCCAGACAGACTAATTTCTTTTATATCTTAAGTATTTTAAATTCTTTTCCATTTTTAAAAAGTCTTTGGGAAGAAAGAAACAGAAAATCAGGAGCAGGGATGTTCTCTAAATTGCTCCAGGGTTTTTTTCTGAGTCTTTACCTTCTTAGGGGTTGGTTATATTTTCACATGGAACATGCTGAAATGTAGTTGCTCTTTTAACTGTAGTGAAAAGTAACTTGGATTATTTTAAAGGGGGATTAGACCAATTTATTGATAAGACCATCAGTAACTAATAACTACCACATCACTTGAAGAAATACAAATCCCTGCTTTCTGGTCCATGGTAAAAATAATCACATAAATACCTGCACTGTACTTGGGACTATAATGAAGAAACTGGCTTTTAGATAATTATATTTTACAGGACATACACACTAAAGCAAAGGCATTAGCTTTTCACCTGGAGTAAACTCTAACAGATGGCAAAAACTGTTTAAATAAATACCAGCCAAAAAGCAAATAACAGAAGCCAACAGGTTACAGTGACTTTATCAAGGCAACTGCTTTGTTTTAACATTGTTTACATTTATGGAGAAGGAAACAGACAAGCAGGCTTCATCAGCAGCCTAAAGGAAAGAATCTTTAAGAATGATTTTTTTTTAACCAGAGGGAAGAAAGGTAACAAACATGAAGTGTCCCTAACATAAACAAGAACCACATAATGAGACAAGAACCACACAGTGAGGAAGAACAAAATTAACACAACCACCTCCTAACCTCCTTTACGTGGAAGTGTGTGGTTGTCCTTTTGGACAGCCATCAAACTTTACTTGTCTGAAAGACTGCCTTGTTTTCTGACTTTCTGGTAATGTAGCAATAGTAATCTAAGGCAATGATTATTAGAGTAAGCAAACATTTTAGTTGCAAATCTTGTCATTAAAATAAATAAAGGGAAGCTAGCATTCTACAAAGCAAGCCATTTGTCTCAAGTTTGTTCTGCATTTCCAGCAGTGCCTTTGGACCCCATTAGCAAAAGGAGATTCTTGCCGACGAACAAGTCTATGCAGTTTTCTTGGCAGCATTTTCAGAAGTGGCTTCTTCTTAAGGCTGAGATCAAATCAATTTTATTACAGCCCTAAGGCAGATACAATCAAAATATCTAATAATAGAAGTATTATATCTATCTATCTATCTATGGATATGGAAAAACAATAGGATCTAAAAATAATTGAGAACAGAGACACTAAAATAAATCAAAATAAAATACCATTATAAGAAATTCCAAACTTAAGGCTGAGAGAGAAAGTGACAGGCTCAAAGTCATCCAGCTGGCTTTTGTGCCTAAGGCAGGACTAGAACTCGTGGAGTTTAACTTTAACACCAAATTGGCTCAAGGCATTTTTAGAACAATAAAATGGCAATGGGTCAATGCTGCTTTCTCCCATATGGGCATATGGCAACCATTTTGTGAAATGTCCATCACATACTCTTAACATTCAAATCTATCTACCAAAAGGTTTGGGGAACTCTGAGCTGCAGCATCTGACCCAGAGGCAATGGGAGAAAACAGGGAAACATTAGTCAGTTTTGCAGAGTATTTAGGTATTAAACACACCGAAGTCAGGAAAAAAATCAACTATTTTCAGTCATACTCCCCTATTATGTAAGCTGTCAACCTCTGACAATTATGCAGGATCAATAATGGTCTCTTCTCAGCAAGTCAAAAGAATGGCACAGTTTCTTTAATTTAAAAGCTGAAACTGACTGACCTTTTTTTACCATTGAATAGTTAAGTGACTAACCTGGATATGGTGAAGTGCAACTTCTTATTCCAAAAATTGTACAGGTAGTCCTCACTTAAAGACCCTAGTTGGGATGGGCAACTCTGTCACTAAGTGATGCAGTCATTAAGCAAAATGTCATATGACCGCCCCGCTTAGCGACAGCAGTTCCAGCAATCCCAGTTGCTGCTGTTGAGCGAATCCCACATGGTCACTGGTGAGGACCACCCAGATCCAAGCCATTCTTGGAAGAAGGTAAGGGACTGCCTCTATTTCAACTCCCCCCAGCCATCTATCTCCCCCCCATCTCTGCCCTTTTGGCCACCCACCTACCCGCCGCCACCAGCTGTCATTACCGGCCAGGACCATCTTTCACGCTGACCTTCTTTTGTGAAAGGAGGACCTGACTAGTAGCGGCACGTGACACGGCACAAACACACCTACCTGTAGCTCTCACCCACCGGCACATGGCCAGGATGGTGACCCTAGCAGAGGGGAGGCAGGCAAAGATAACAAAGGTCAGCTGGGAGGGCAGTGGCAGCGGGGATGGTTGTCAATGCAGGCAGGCCTGAATTTTGTTCATGTGATTGTGGGAGGCGCTGCGACAGCCAGAACTTCGAGGACCAGTTGTAAATCCCGTCATTCAGTGCTGTCCTAACTTTGAACAGTCACTGAACAAATGGACGTTGAGCGAGGACTACCTATATTTTTTAACAGCATAAAACTGACAAAATCTCAGAAATAACATTTCTCATCCTTCTTGCAGAAATGTTCCAGAAATACTCTGTCTTAGGAAAGCTGGAATAGGTCAGGCAAAAGAACTGTCTTCCCAAGAAGCAAGCACTCACATTGTAATAATATTTGTTAAAATCTGTAGATTAATGGAAAGGTGATAATATATTTTTTTACCAGCCAACTGAAAGTTAAATTGGAAGAAAAAAACTCTCTACCAAAGATCATAATTCAAGCAACACAATTTACAGATCACTTATGGGATATTCCCTGTACCAAGTTCTTTTCTCTGTATTCTGTATCTTCTCAGTCTTGTTACCACTGTGCTTATTGGTTTCAGCATACCTATTATCCACTCCATATAGTTTCTATGCAGGAATGCCTTTTTTTCTTTTTTTAGGAACCCATGGGGGACCGGAAACAAGGCTGTACTTTTTAAAGAATTATTTTCAATAATGCAATCTGTGAACCAAGAGCATGGGGACTTTCATGCACGCACTACATAAAGTTATTCTTTTTTCTTCTTTTGATATTCCCTTCTCTTCCCCCTTCCCATTTCTAGTGCTTCAAACTTTATACATCATAGTTGGATATGCCTCTTACCTCTGTGAATTTGGTGAGGGTTGCATTGGTTGGGTTGTGGGTAATCAGGAAGCGCATAGTCTCATAAGTAATCTCCACTGGAGCAGGACGGTTCATAATGGCGAAGGGAGAAAAGTGTATGAGGACTAACAAAACAAAAATTAAAAATCAAATCTTGCAATGTTTCACAGCAGAAAACATTAAAGACCACTAAAGTGGGGACTGATGAGATCTTTCCTTATTTCCTTGGTTTGTTCTTCAAAATAACTTTTCACTTTAAGAAATACTGGCTTACTTGAGCATCTGCTGGAATTCAACTTCAGCCTCAATCACTGCAGGTGGCACTCCTTCAGATTTTGCAGGTTTCTACTACATGCAAAAAATAGGCAGCCTTGACTACATTTAGGCACTGGTGAGGCACAAAGAAAATGTCAGGACAAGTCTTCTCCCCAATGGGGCTCAGCCAGGCTTTGCTTCTCTAGTGTCACTAAGAGGAAGAGGTTTCCAATGTGCAGAAGATAACCCCATATATTTGAGGCTTACGTCTCAGTGTGTTGAGTCTTCAAGGCCAAGTTTAGTTACCGCACGTGGGACCCCGGCCTCCAGCTCACTTCTCAGCCAGGATGCTGTGCTGGGCCCGGCAGAAATCTGCCCTGACGCTCAGAATCGCCATAAATGTGTGGCGTGGATTCAAATGGAAAACCTAAGAGACAAGGAAGAAAGCATCTAGGCTTAGAAAGAATTATTCAGAGATTTCCAAAGAATA